TCACTGATGATTCTAGGACGCGTGTCCCGCCGATATGATGGTCGGGGATGCATGTCCAGCGAGTGTGATTAGTCTTGAGGACGTGACTGGATGCCTCTGATGGCATGACTAGCCCCAAAACCCCGCTGATTTGATTTCTTGCTGATCAGTCTCTGCATGGACGATATTTATATCAGACCCTGTGCGGACGGTATTTTTCYTGCATACATGATATCAGTGCAGTTCGGTTTGCACGCGCAGTATTTTGCARCTGGCCTCTGCATAGATAATATCTTGATGATCAGTCTCTCTCAGTGACGATACTTGCAGTTCAGTCCTCATGCTCTAGTCCACTCGCTGCARAGATGTTCGTATGATGTTCCTAGATCGAGTTGTTGCTGATCAGCCCATTCAGGCGGGCCCTTATATCGAGTTGTTGCTGTTTCAGTCGGGCCCATTCAGGCCGGCCCTTATATCGAGTTGTTGYTGTTTTCAGCCGGGCCCATTCAGGCGGGCCCCTATATCGAGTTATTGCTGTTCAGCCGMGCCCATTCAGGCGGGCCCCTATATTGAGYTGGTTGCCACCAGTTTGGYTTGAGGGTCTATTGAGGTGYTGTCCTCTTTGACCCTATCGAGTTGCGTTRTTTTCCTGGGCTATTGATATCCCCTCATCTCCAGGACATCGTTGCTTGGCATAGCAGCTTGCCAGGGGCATTCTATATTATTTTGCAGATTGGTCAAGYTGGCTTCTCAACATGAGACAACCCCTACATGGGGTAAGMTGGTTGAGAAGTTCTGCTATCGACACATTGGGCATCAGAGTTTCGTCATTCGGGCCAAMGAGTYTCCCACATCGAGGTACACATYGGTGATCACTTGTCACGTGAGAGATGTTGGGCAGGGAGTGAAGGGAACCACCTATGACTGGATTGCTGACTATGTCTTCCGCAGGGAGAGCTACTGGAGGGAACACTGGTTACATGTGGTGTTTCCCCAGATCCCCTTTGCACCAGGCGGTGCCCTCTATGACTTTGACGGCTGTAATCCTAAGCCGCTGAGCAGAGGTGGCAGCAAGGAAAAGAGGCGTCAAGATAAAAGGATTAGGAGCGAGGTGGCCAGTTTCGGGATACCTATTACCACCTGCCTACAGAGGTCAGAGACGGATGAGTCAGACTAGGAGCCTTGTTGCGTGAGCGATGTTGACCTGGGGGACTATTTTGACTGGGATACTCACAGGGACTGAGTACGCTTGAGTTTGGAGCTGGCCCAGAGCATCTTATGACATTGGTCACTCGAGCGAGACGCAGGCGAAAAGCAGCCCCACGACGGGTTGCTTATCTTTTGGCACGATATTTGCTTGAGGGTGATTGATTTGGACATTACATGTCAGGAGGACCCAGGTCAGAGGAGGTACTCGGCCCTTCAAGGGGGAAGGGACCAGTCCCATATCTTGGGGATGGCTACAACCATTTGGTGGGAGCAAACTTCATCATACAGGCTTTTCGAAAGCCTCTCTATGGAGACCGTTTTCTGGAGGTTTCATATGACTACATCTACGACAAGGGGCGGATCGAGATCTTGATTGGTGCCACTGGCAGCATTTCCCTCGCTGAGGAGCTATACCTTCGGAGCGTTGCGGACGAGGAGATGGCCAGTTGTATGGCATATATCAGCAAGATCGATCCTACGGTATCCTTTGACATCAGCTACGTGGTCCTAGAGTCGATGGCCACTCAGATTCTCAATGATGAGGAGGACCAGCGTGTACCAGATACGGGGTCCCAGACAGTCGAGCCCACTCATGAGGGGGTACCACTTGTCGTCATTGACTGAGGCTCGTATCGTTTAATCACTGAGATGTACTATGACATTATTATTATTTATCAGTGACTGCAGTCCCTTCTTTATGGCGGCCTCCCCCATTCTTTGTGTACTACTCTTCAGTCTCGTGTCTCAGGTGATGCTCTTGCAGAGTCTGGTTTTTTGTCTTTTCATCCTCTCAGTGTCATTTGATTTATGATGCATGTCCTGGAATGCATGGAATGTTTGTGCATGAGATAACAAGTTATTCATCACTCCTTATCATAACAGGTTACACTCAAGGTTGTTTGAAGGACTCCTGGATACTAGGGACGCCGGTGACCTTGATTCTAACCTTTATACGGGGTCAGGTGCAGGCGATAAAACCGAACGCCTCACTCTAAGCCGTGTCGCCGCTGGCAGGAGAGATAACACTGACTACTCGACTGTGTGACAAAGGCTGCTTGTGATTTCACTTCCAATTTTTCCTAAAACTCTCCAAAATCCTGTGTGACAGCCTGCCAGTCCACCAACCCACCGCACTCGACCCGGGGAGAGACATCGAACCAGGCCATGGAACGGTGGGGGCGAGACAGCGGGAGTGCCCAGGGCGCATACGGGCACTTGAGAGGTGAGAGGGGCGCTGCTGGGCAGCGTAGAACAGACAGCCATAGCCGGGCTGCAGGGCGTTAGGGGTTAAGAGGCGATTGGTGGTCTTCGGAAAGGAGGCGAGTGTGGGTGGACAGGGAAGTAATGAGGGGAGACGAGATACGTACCTGGTGCATGAGGGAGGTCGGCTATGATGTTGATGTCATGTACATTGGTCTTCAAAGTCGAAGTGAGCTTGTTGCCTGAATGCGGTTGGAGTAGGATAGGCAAGTAGTGTAGGCTGGGCACTAGGCGCCAGACGAAGAGGAGCGACATTGGATACCGTGTTGGTGTGGCCTAAGGCTTGAATATTGGCTCAAGAGTTCATTGTATTGCTCTTATTTGGATAGAATCTCTGGGTATTTGTGCTCTCTGCTTGTACGTGACGACCTGGATATCTGTGTGATTTCTCAACTTGGTTTTCTGTATACCGTTCTCACTCATATTCCTTGCAATTTGGTATCGGAGTTGGTCCGTGATTGCCATTACCTGGCACCGGCGACATTGTTATTTGGTGCGCTGATGATGCTTCTGTGCAGTGAGGATACTTTGGTGCTGACTTGTTAATGCGGGACCCGGATAGAGGGGTTCATCGCTAGAAGGTTGTGGCGACAACGTGGGATCTGTAGCAACAACGGATGTATTTATGATGATGAGAGGATGCTGATGTGGCATTTTGGCTGAGGTGGCACTGCATTGCGTTGTGAGTGGTACCGAAGCTATGACCGATCTTCGAAATGCACATCGGCTCAATTGGTGAGAAATTTGTGGTTGGGGGAAGCTATCTCGAGGTACGTTGTTCCCTTACCTTATCTACGCTCTCAATCTCTTCTTACCGTGAGGAAGTGAGTCCAACCTTGAGTGTCCTCATTTTTGTGTAAGGAGTCGCGAGCGCTCTACCTTGAGAGACGACATCCTTCCCGGTGGTGCATCTGGCAGGAGAGGGCGGTGTCTCTGAAGGGCCCTGGTTGAAGCACGGGTCACGGTCACCATGCCAACCCATGGGAGTATTACAAGCAGGCCATGCTGCTTTGTCCTATGACAGCTCTTTGCTGCGCTGATAGAAGGGGTGTGTGGACCGACCAGTCCTATGCAGACGCTAACCAGACCGTCTATAAATATTTCTAGCGGGGGTCTTAACTGTCCACTGGCTGTGATCGTCGTCCTGATTGTGACATTAAATAATTCCTGAGGACCGTGGTGGCTGTCCTTAAACTGCCTCTTGATCAGCCAGAGGCTCATTGCACGGAAGGACAAAGAACGGGCAGTTCTGGTCATAAGCATACGCCTTGGGCACAAGAGTGGGCCGTTAATGCACACCTTAGACACTGTTGCTCGATGATGGCTACAGGCACGTTGGATACAAGGGATGAAGATTCCAATTGAGACTCAACTAGCAAACACAACTATACCCATTGTGCATACATCTGCTCACATAATTTATTTTTATGTTGTTTTGTTGGTTAACAGACTGCTAACACGTCACAGACGGCCTAGAGTAGGACTATAATGTTCTACCATAGTCAGTTCTCCTTGAAGCTTCCGTAAGAGAACTAACCGAAGTAGATTTTGATTATGTGTACATTCTATGTAAATGTTGTTAATATCGCGTGAACGGTAAACCAGGTTACTTGTCGGACATTATATTATTTTTATTTGTTTTCAGAACCGGTCAAACGCATGCTGCGGTAGGTTCCAGAGAGAACACTAGTGCACACAGCGTCTGTCTAGCCGATGAGTGGATCATAAGGTGGTGAAGGTACAACTGACGACCGAAGGCAGACATGATGTGATACACGTACGATACCTGTAGTGTTCCAGTTTTTGGTACCGGGAGACGAAAGAAGGTTAAGGGCCGAAGCAAGGGCCCGTAATCTTGAGACTGCAAGGGAAGCAAAAACAATTGTAGAAAGGACATTAGCAGCAACAGCAGCAGCTAGCGTGGTAGCAATGGCTACCTCTGCAGCATCGTTTGCGGCATCCTCGTCCAGTCAGCCGTTCTGAATGTCGGACACCAATGGGCCGTCCATCTCCAGTACATCAGGATCCAGGACCAGTCAGATGGCGGGCTTGCAGTTCAGCTCACCGCCTGCACTCACCAGGGAGCAGATGGAGCTCCAAGTAGAGAGGATCCGCTTAAGGTTAGAGAAGGAATTAAGGAGGCTACTGAAAGAGAAGATGAGATCAGAAATAGAAGTGTCAAACTTGAGGGAAGAGAGGCAGACAAAGTTGTTGTAGAGGGTTTAGATGATGTTGTCATTGACGATAACATGCGGATCCTCAAGGCACGTCTCCTGTCCATGCATGCATACATGGATAGCAAATTGGACGATGTCCAGGACACCCTAGACCAGATCTTGAACGCCATGCACATACCAAGTTTCAGGCCAGCAGTTCTGCCATCGCTGTCATTTTCGGCAATGACAGGTCCGTATCCGCCTCAGTCTGGTACCATACCAAGCGGTACATCAGCAGCGGCAGGACAAACTGTTGCTTCTACTTCTTCTGGTCCAGAGGCTGGAGCTACACCAGAGCCGCCAACTGCCCCAGCAGCAGGACAGCAACAACCTTGGTACCCCAAGACCCCATCGAAACCACCCTCAACCTTCTCAGGGGATAAGAAGGATGAGGCTCTTGACACTTGGTTGAGAACGGTGCCAGTGTGGGTGAGGGCGAAGAGGACGTTGGTAGAGGAGGAAGTGATAATTGTCGCATCCTATTTGGAGGGTTCGACAACTCGTTAGCTAAACGGATTAGTTGCCTCAAAGGGATTCGGCAGGAACATGGGTGATTGGGCTAAGACCGATACCCTAGAGAGCTTTATGGATTTGGTGGAAGCGCGATGACACAACCCACAACAGGCACAAATTGTCACTGATGCATTAACCCGACTTGATACTAATAAGTACAAGTCCGTGCGCAAACTCACCTCTGCCGTTGAGTGCCTGATTGTCATCCCTTGGGTACGCTATGATCCGAAAGTCTTAACGACCATGTTCTTGAGATATCCCTAGCACAGACGTCAAGAACTTATTAGCCAATGAGGCTCGACTAGAGTATCACACCTTTGAGACCTTTAGCAAGAAGGCTCTAGATTTAGAGGCCACGCTAGGAGGTGCTCAACAACTCCCTACAAACGGAAGAAAGAAGAAGAGTCCACAAGAGTGGAAGAAGAAGGGGAGCCGGTTGATGATGTTTGAGGCCGACGGTACTCAAACCGAGATCGGCGACTTTTTGGACTTAGTGGACGGTTCAGAGTTTGACAGCGAGGACAATGCTAAGAGTAGCAACCTCGCCGCAATAGTAAAGGTTAAGGCAGGTGGCCACAGTAAGGGCGGTCAACAGACAATTCAGGGGCAAACCAAGAACCCGAACAAAATAGCAGTTTGGGTTAAAGCGGGTTTGGATCAAGATGTGTGGCGGGACTGTTATACGCGGGGTGCTTGCATTAACTGCGGCGAGTATGGCCACCTACAGTTCAAATGCAAGAACACTAAGGTTTCACAGAAGATACCGCCTAAAGGTGGGATTCCTTCTTCCCAGAGTGGGGCCTCCACGAGTTCCAGCTCGGGAAACACATAGGGCCAGTAGAAGTTGTAGCTGCTTCTACTCGTGCTGAAGGGGGTGACGTACGCTCCCCGTTTCAAGAGTTGGTCGAAGCTATGGACTCCTTAGTCACCCCGCAGACGCATCCTGACCCAACGGTACTCTGTTCGTTGGATGTGTCTGAGGCCTTAGAGGACCTGCAAAGTGAGTGGTCGACAAGTGACCCTCGTGAGTCCTGGGTGACATTAAGTTGAGGTCCTAGAGAGGAACACTTTGTTGTGGAAGTTGGTGTAGGTGGCCGCAAGTGCGGTGCCTTCGTAGACATCGGCTCCACGTGGAACTTTATAAGTCGCGACTGTGTTGATAGACTGCGTCTATAGGACCGGGTGCAGCGCCTGAGTAGACCGGTAGCATCTACTTTGACCAACAAAGAGCGCATGATGGTGGAGGACTACGTCAAGGACGTGGTCTGTACTTTCTCCTATGCAGGAGGGGAAATTAATCATAAGATTTCATTCCTGGTCAGCGACGACTTGCCAATAGATATGTTGTTAGGAATATACTACCTCGAGGTTGCCAAGCCCCAGTTTGACTGGGACAAGAAATTGCGAAAGCATGAGTTGCCTAATGGGAGAACCATTAGACTAGCTGAGTATAAGGCTAGTAGGTTAATTGACTCCTACGGGTGCTTGCGTGCATCAACCTTCTACAACTATTATAAACAAAACCAAGAGGAGGGTATGTACTTAGTTTTTGTCTTTGAGATAGAAAATGTCGTTGCTAAGTACCCTGATACGTTTGAGGAGCCTACAGGTGTCGTAGACAGGGAGGTTGTCCATGCCATAGAGATCATCCCTGGGAGCAAGATACCCAATGGGAGAATCTATAGGATGGCTCCGACCGAGTTGGACGAGCTCCGTCGGCAATTGAAAGAGCTCGCATAGAAGGGTTGGATACGGCCTAACATCTCCCCCTTCGGCCTATCAGTTTTATTTGTCCCGAAGAAGGGGGGATCACTAAGGATGTGCATTGATTATAGGGGCCTCAATGCCATTACCAATAGGAACGCAGAGCCCCTACTTCGCATCGACGACCTGCAGACCAAAACAAGAACCGACCTCGCTCACATAGTACAAGATAGCGCAGCGGAAGGCTAATATACCAATGGTCCGAACAATCAATGTTGCAATGCCGACCAAACATACATCATCACCATTCCATGGTGTGAAGGGGCCTGGCGCTCACACAGGAAGAATGCGCCAGTCCCCAACCATACACAGACAAAGAAGAGGGGGGTTAGACGAAGAAGAGGGGAATATGGGAATGTCGTCAACACCAAGTCTTCAGTACACTTCCCAAATAATCCCTCGTCCAATGTCTCAATCCCAATGTGGAGTCGGGATCCAAATGTCGTCAAGTCCCAAAGTCACCAATCTCTCGCTCTCTTGTAGTCTGCAGATAATAAGAAGTTAGGTAGCGAGAGGGTGAGGGAGAGATGGTGGACTTAGAAGAGGAAGAAGAACTCTCTCTCTCTCTCTCAGTCTGGTACTAACACGTGAAGGTGGCGCCTTGTTGCAGGTACATCAAAGACGAAGCTGGAGCTATGGCGCCACAGGTAAGTTTCCCTGTCCTCTGCCAACCATCTCTCTCTCTCCAATGCTACTCTAGCTCCTAATAGCGCCCTGCGCTGAAGACTACTGCTAACACTACTACTACTACTGCAGTGCTCCTCCCGAGTGTTGTTGCCGAATCCTGAAGACTGCCTCCTGCCTTCTGCACGTGAAGTGCCTGGGAAGTCCCTATGGACTGCCTGCAGCCTGTAGGGCGGGCCAATCTTATATAGTGCTGGCCCGTTCAGGAGGCTGCTCTTGCCAATGCCAAAACGTGCCAGACCCTGGCGTTGAAGTTCAAACAAGGTTGTCTTGAAAACAGACCCAAAATGGCCTGTGCTAAAACCCTGGTCTGGTGCCTAAGTTTCAGGGCAGGTCGATCTTATGAGGGCCTGAAAATGGCCCTCCGTTTCAGGCTGAAAAGACTCAGGGCCTGGAGGGCCCTTTTTAGGCTGAAACGACACAGGGCCTGTAGGCCATTGTTTTCAGGCTTTTAGGCTAAAACGACACAGGGCCTGTAGGCCCTTGTTTTCAGGCTCTTAGGTTGAGAATGCTTGTCGGGCCTTGCAGGCTCGTGTGGCTGCGCAGTATGCCGCACCCCCCCATCCTTGAAAGACGGAGCTTATCTGCGAGGGCGAAGCTGTTCGTCTGAGGGAGGGACCAAAGTCCGGGTGGGAGGGGCAGGTCGTGAAGCTCCCTTAGCTAACCTTTGTCATTCGTAGTGAGCGTAGATCGGCGGTGTGGATGCTTTCAAATCTGCTCCTGAAATCCATCGAGTGTCTTCGGGATCGCATGCTTTGAAGGTAACTTTGTACTGTCGAGGCTTGTTGCCGTACTTGTGATCCGTGATGACGCAGTCAACTTCCTGATGACCATCCATAGATGGAGGGTTTTGCGATCGTCGGCCCGAGAAGTCATCGCTCTTAGCTGGTGTATATGTCGCCAGCTTCGACGTGAAAAGACTGGATGGACCGTCAGTCGCGGGGGGATGTTGATCACAAATGAGGGGCCATCGGGCTCATCGCCCGCAACTGATGTTACGGTGTCGGGACTGGTCCCGAATGACTTCCCGTCACTCGAGAGACTGTATATGACCAATTTGTGCACGACAGAGAAAACCGGAGGCAGGTATGCTGGAAAGAGCGGAAGCATGGGCACGTACAGTAGGAAGCCAGAGGCTGCCCGAAGTCGTCGGGGCCGCCAGACTAGAAATGGGTTGGCTAAGCAGAAAGCGGCAAAAGGACTGTGAGAGTAGCAGGGGCGACTCCTTCCCCAAGGACGGAGAAGGGCCGTCGGGAAGTCGGTAGTAGCATAGGAGGTGCGCAACAAGGGAAGGAAGGAAGTGGGAAGGGACAGGGCGCAAGGCGCTGACGCAACATGGCGGCAGGAGGGCCAGGGAGACCACAGGGTAGGTGCGAGCCGGCACCCGGAACAGAATAGCACGCGGGACGCAATAGGAGCGAGGAGCGGAGGTCACTGGAAGGCAGAAAGACGTCAGGGGCACCAAGGAAAGACGTGGTACAGGCCGGGCAGGAGTGTCGGGGACCACATGGGATCGAAGGACAGGGCTGTACCAGCAGGACAAAGCGCCAGGGACCACGCGGGACCAAGGGACGGCGTGGTGCCGGCAGGGCGGAGTATCGGGAACCGCGTGAGACCAAGGGAAAGATGTAATGCAGGCAGGCCGAAGTGCCAGGGACCGCATGGGCCTAGATAAAATGGCGGCACTAGCGGAACCACTAGCAGATTGGGTATCGACGGAATAAAAAGTGTCAGGAGCCGCCGGCAGGGATTGTCGACAGAACGGAGAAGACGGGCGCGAGGCGGGAAAAACGGAGGGCATCTAGGGCAACCCAAGGGGGTCCTGGATCAAATGCGACGACAACAGAAATAAAGTAGCATGACGTCAGGTGGACGGGACCAGCCGGGCCGGGGAGTCCGGATGGGAACGTTAAGTGCCGCCACGGCAAGCGCCGGCGGGAGGTGCCGAGGGGAAAGAAAAGATGGAGTAGCAGCAGTAAGGGGGGGCCAGCCAGCAGTCCGAGTATCCCGGACCAGCCAGGCGAAGAAAAACGAAGTTCCGAGGGCTCCACGTATTATCTCTGCAATATCTTAATTTAAGCAGCAAAAATAAGGGAAAATGTTGATGTGAGTTGGCCGGCTCATTTTTGGACCCTAGATCTGAAATCTGATCTTGCGGAGGAGGAAATCTAGCCGTTTTTTGTGGGCTGACACAAAACGGCTAGCTCCGGAATGAGTTGGCAGCAATATGGAGGGAAAACAAAGAGAGGAACAAGACAAAACTGCGAATTTGGCCCAAGGTTTGGGCCACGTACATCAAAGAAATTGAAAATAGGAGTAAAAGACTCAAATTTGGAGCAAGCGGGGCTTGGGAGTAGCTCAGAATGATGAAAACCATGGATCTCAGCCAAATCCAAGGCTGAGATTTGTGCCGCCACTTGGGAAAATGTAACGGCCTACTCACAAGAGGCCTAGACTAGAAAAAAACGAAAAACGGGCCTCTAGGCCCTCAAATTTTAGTAAGCGCTGCATTTTGGGGTAGTGGTACTGCATGTACCTGGC